ACCGCAGAGGCCGGAGAGCCGAACGTCCAAAGGGCCAAGGACACGGGAAAGGGCGGTTGCGGCGTGCCGCAGTTGAGTGGGAAGAAGCCGCAGTTTTCCCCTTTCCTTTTTTTGTTTGGTTGGCTCGGCCCTTTTTGTTTCTCAGAAGGGGCCAGCTGTGGTTAACTTGAAAACAAAAAAGCACGCACCTGGATACATCTCGAGGTTCCTGCTGGCATTCTGGCGGACCGCAGCTTTAGTCTTTCGCCAACTCTTTTGAATGAGGCCAGTTACTTGCAGAGCGCCACAGCAGCTATGTAAGATTCCAGATGGCTTGGGTTTTGAGTTTGCCCTTCCGGCCCAAACTGCTAGATTGAGCCATCAGGAGCTCTCCGTTTTCCCTGCCTGTGCATTTCAGGGCTTTGCTTTCCCAGGGCAGTTGTTGTCCGGTTTTGACTTTTCCATAGTCGATCCAGTCTAGACTGCGCCGTATTTATGTTGGCACCTGATTGTCGTGTACATCCTGGTACCGGCAGTTGCGCGTACGCTAGCGGCCATGTGACGTTTCTGGGTGGCTCGAACGAGCAACTAAAACCTTGGCGCAGAGTCGGCAAATTTCAGGTTTACAAGTGCCAGATGGACACTCTGAAGAACAGCCCCCATCAAAGTAGAGGAATCCATTTTCAAGGAAGTACCCTCTTCTTGATTGGTTCCTTCTCTTGAAAATTGCCAGAGGGTATTGTTGGGAAGTGTGGCGGAGCATTCGTTTGCGGGATGGGCGTTTGCGGGATGTTCCCTGAAAATTCCTGGTGAGGATTCTCGCAGACAATGGGAACTACGGATTAAACACCTCCTTGTTGATTCATTTGGGTGTCCCCTTTTTGTGGGGGTTCATCACGTGGGGAGGGGAACACCCCTCCGACCCATTAATTAAATGCGTGTATCAATCCGGGTCAGGAGTCCTGGGCTCCTTGGCACGACTCCACACAGCAGGCTGAGGCTCACAATCCGCACTGATGCGCTGAGTTCGGCCCTTCTCCTTGGGACTGGGTGCCTTCAATGGAAAGACTCTCACTATTGGGAGAGGTTGGGTTCTCGTCAAAGTGACCATTGCCACTTTAGCTACAAGCCAGTGCAAAGTGCGGGTCCCTATGCAAGGCCAGAAAGAACCTGCTGGCCTCGGGTGGCATCCCCCCACGAATGGGCGTCTTGTTGCGCTGTCTAATTTTGGCAGACCAAGCCTTATCCTCACCTCCGTGCACTCCAACAACAAAAAGAGAATAAAACGTCTTTGGTCTTCGGATCCGAACTGCCGCGAGGATCTTTTGTGACCTCTTTGAGATGAATGTGCAACAGGTCTGTGTCTTTGGGCCGACCTCGGTCACCCTTCAGGCCATGGCCAAAGGCCACCTCCCAGGCTTGAATCTTGAGCCGCCATTCGGCCGCCCCCACAGGCAGCTCATGTGTTCCGACGTACCTGGTCTCAGGCTTCCGCCCTTTGGGGGGTGTCATGAAGGCCGACTCGATTTACATGTCAGCTCCACATCAACATGCGTTTGGATCCCCTTTCAAATCCAGCATCCGTAGGCGATCTGAGAATGATATCTGAGGCATTCCCCCATGGCAAGCTGGAAATCCTTCAAGTGGGTTGTCAGGCAGGCCTCAAGCGGAGCACATGTTGAAGCAATCGCCCAGGTTGGGCAGTTTTACAGCTCCCTTTCCCGTGGACTTGGTGCGTAGGCTGCGGACCACGGGCGAGATCAACCCTGGCCGGCTCCTCTGGCGGAGCAGCGAAGCAGTGAAGCAAGACTGGGGTGTCGCAAAACATGAGGTCAAATGATGAATGTTAAGTAAGGCCCTATTGACTTCATGTAGGGGTATGTCCCACCAATTGTTCAAGTGCATGGCCAAATGTATTCACCCACTATTCCCTTGTCTATAAGCAAAGATGATAGAAACCGTGGAGAGGCGACGTGCCATCTGCGTTCACCCCACTGTAGGGAGTGGTCTTTGTTCCATGTGCGTCTAGATCTCCATTGTGTATCTTCTGAGTCCAGCGCGTTTTAGTGGTGTTTCCCCTTTTGTTCTGGGCAGGGCAAGCCTAAAATCATCTCCATGCAAAACCACGGCTCAAGGGGATAAAGAGGCAAGCAGTGACATGAGGTCGGATGGCGTCTACACCTGCCTTGGTGTGGGTGACACGGACAGGCAACCACGAGCGCCCGGAAGCTTAGCGCTCTGAGTCGGGTGGTTCGTGAAGCTATCCAGTACGGGGGAGACAAGGAAGGGGATCACGAAATGTCTGACACAAACCACAGCGGTAGAAACCCTTTCTCCCATGTCCAGGCATATTTTGACGGTACATGCGAGAGCACCCTGCGAACCCGAAATCAGTTTACTGTTGTCCTTCGAACGTTTATGCGCCTGCATCCGGTGTGTTTCTTCTGGGGAATCACTTTGCACAACACGCGGATCTCCCAGCCCAAATAGGGACATCGCAACTGGGGTGTTTCAAGGGAAAGCAAACATGCATGTGGATGAAGTTTGTGCATCATCTTTCCAATGCCGTGAGCATGCTAGAAGCGAGAGAGAGAGAGAGAGTGGTATGCATGCCCCAGGCGTCGGCAGGAAGAGTCAGAAAGCCTGAAGTTCGGGAAGCATTGGGCAATATCTTCCAACTTCAGAACACCTATCCAATGGGTATAACTCGGCATGAAGATATGGATTCACCTAAACCCTTAAAGCTGAGCCAAGTGATTGCTCTTGGAGCTGCGAAGAAGCAATTTGAACAGCCGGATTTCTCAGTGGGGGTGGGTTTCCCTCAAGTTGCCTAGAGGTGCAGCACCCGACGCGATTTGGAGCCGCTGCGCTTCCCAAAATAGGGCATTTGAAGCTTGTGACGTTCTTTCGGGTCTTGGAATTTGTCATTTTGTTGAGTGGGTTGGAGTGATCTTGGTTTATCTTAGGTGAAATGGGGTTGGGAATAAACCCTCACAAGGGGGGAACCAACATCGATTTGCTGTCAGGAATAGCCGCGCCAGTCTTTCTCGTCTTTGGGGGTGGGTTTCCCTCAACCTTTGTTTGCTCTTCTTTTCAGGTGGAAATCCTCCCACCATGTTGCCTCCTGCGGTGTAGGGCGCCTAATTGGTTGGTTTCCTTTTGCCTTCCCTTTTCATAGCAACCAAAAGGGGTCCTCCTTTCTCATTGTGGACCAAGGAAGACGGTGCTGCTGGTGGTTCCCATCCTGATCTTCCTTTGGGCCTGCGCCATAGTTGGCTTTTGAGAGCGCCGCTTCTTTAAGAATATGTGTTGGTCCAGATGTAGCTGCAGTTGGTGATCTCTTTTTGAACTACCTTGGATTTTTAAGATCGCAACAAGCAGAGGGTGAAAAATAGGGCCGGCACCCGAAAGGGGACTTTGGGTTGTGTAGTGTGATAGCCCTTTGGCTTTGTGATGTTAAACCGACTTGGTGATCTGTTCGCGTGAAGCTCACCTCAGAGAGGCAAGTGCGTGGTATTTTGGAGGTCCTTTGCATCCCAACCAAAAAGACAACCACCCCCAGTTTGAGGGTCCCCTTTGACACGGTTTCCAAAAGTAGGGGCCATGTTTGGCCTGTTGCAACACCGAAATGGAGCCAAAAGGAACCGCCAACATGTTTGAGCCCCCACAGACCCGAATTGGGGTTCTCATAATAGTGGTCCCCTAAAATGGTAGCACTTTTCTTTTGGTTTCCCTTTCAATACCAAGATTTTCCGCCAATTTGAGAAACACTCAAATGCAGCCCAGGAGATCCTCATTTGGAGCCTCCTGTCCCATGTCTCCGTCAATGGATGCTGGCTGCCGGACGCCCCAGCACCATGTTTTCACGCCAGGTACAAATGCGGCGGGGTGGTTCCTTTTGTTGCCTTTACTTGGGCATAGCATGGTGCTATTCTATTGGTAGGCAGGCTAAGGCTTGTGGCAGGCCTCAAAACAAGGTGGCCCTTGACACCGATCTTGCGAAGTTCTGAAGGCGCCAGCTTGCGTGGTGAAGGCAATCCGAAAAGAAACCAACCATTTGGTGGGGGGGGGGGGGCGAGTCCCCGTTTTGAGAACCCAAAAGTGGCCAAAGGGACAACAGCTCGGGAAGCTGCATACACCTGTAGTGCCTTAACTGTGCACTACTTGTTGGTTTGCTACAGCATTGACAGGTAGGCTCCAATCCAGAGCCGAATGTGCATCGCGCATGCGGCACACAAAGCAGACAAACCACAAATGAGGATACTCATACTCCAAAGCCCACCACTCGAGATGGCGCACCACTGCAGACCGCATTTGCTCTCCTGCTTTGCCAACGGCTTTTTGTCTCATGGGATGTGTGGAAAACTGGGCCAGGCAAACCAAAACTGAGAACAATCAGCTTCCGAAAGAGACAAATCTACTCCTTGGCGATGGAAGCTCGCAACCTGGCGGTCAAACTAGACTTGAGCGCCACGCAGTTTAACCAAAATGCATGTTAAGCTTCAGCTCTCGCAGAGGCTGATGTCTCTACCACTAAAACCCTTCCAGAGGCCAACTCGAAGATCCAGTGTCATCGTGGACAGTGGCATAACTGCATCAGCATCCGTACAGGAAACGCGCCAACCCAAACAAAGCGCTATTTAGAACAGCCAGATCCTGCACGCTATGAGATCCAACACCCACTCACATCATTTTGTTTACTGCGTTTGCAGTCCTTCACGTCAAAGATTACGGGGTTCTTTTCGCTCCAGTGATCTAGTGTCCTTTGGCCCCAGGGCCTCAGCGAATTGGTCCTGTAAACGCCCTTGGGGTAGCTCCCAACGAAGCCCGAAGTTGCCCTTCTTCAGAGCGGCATGACCGGTCCTTTTCTACACACACACACACACAAAACAAATGCCTGTATGGAGCCAGAGGGCACGGCGGGATTCCATTCGAATTCACACGCCCCAAGTCTACATTGCCCTCTGGCCAGGTAGCTTTACAGATTACAGACCTAGCAGATTCCCACGTCCTCGCGTTCTTCATAGTGAGCATCGTCCCGCCTGGTAGTCCGTGGGCACCCACCGCATCCAAGATTTGCCGAAGTGCTGCCAGGTCCGCCGGCCGTCGCTCCGACGGAGCCCTTCCGCCTTCACGTTTGTATCGTAGAGCGATCTGCAATCGGTGATCGGCACGATCGGGACGACGTGCCGGCACCGTTCTTCGCTCAGACCTCCACCCGCTTCTGCAAGCCCGATTGCAAGCGTGCAATTTCCACCCGCAGATCATGGCGGGACACTCCTTGCCCTCCAAAACGTCCCTGTGTGTCAGCATCAGGATGTGCCCCAACTGTGAGTAAATCCCCACACCGTTATACATTTCCAAGTCGTCGGCCTCTTCGCGCACCTCTGGCGCGTTGGCCACCTTCCGGAAGGTCAGCCTCTCCTCCTTGTTCTCCTGCGCCAACTTTACCACCTTGTTCGTCTCCTTGACGTCCGCATAGGTGCGGTGTGTTTGCTTTCTCTGCGCCATCGACACCCCTGTCTGCAAGTCAGGCCTGGTCTGTGATGCCAGCCAGGACAATCCTCCAACCACGGACTGGTTGTCCAGCCTTGTCACCTCGTCCGCCACCTCTTCCGGATTCACGCCCTTCGGGATGTCCACGGTCTCCAACCTCGACTTGACGTAGTTGCTCTGTCCCACGTGGATGCTGTTGTCATTCTGCTCGATGTCCGAACCAATATACTCGAAGGTATCGCTCTCCCACTCTGAGATGGGAAAGATCTCCGAGAGGCTCTTCTGCAGCTCCTTGATCTCTTCCTTGGGGGCCGCGAGCAAGATGTCGTCGACATGGTTCACCAAGGCACCCCGCATCTCACCACGTCCATCTCGAAGAATGAAGCCATTGTCTTAGGCGTCCTCTTCTGTGTCGTCCAAAGCGCTTTGTCCGGGGGCAGCGGTATAGCATCCTCGTTTGGCGCCATCACGCTAGGTGTGTAGGGCTCGTCGTCCAACTCCATACCTTCGGGTGCTGGCATAGGCCCTTTCTGCCTCAGCCTTTTGCGAGGTACTCCATCTGGCCAGGATCTTTTCCGGTCTGATGCCACCTGGTCTGCCTCGGTCTTTTCCAGAACGGCCGGCACTTCCTTGAAGATCTCCTCGTCCTCCACGTCGTCGTCCTCAATCTGTTCCATCAGATCCCGCTGCATTGACTGTGCCTGAATCAGCGTGCCCAGCTCTTCAGACTCAGCTGGTCGCAAGTGCTCCTTGGCACACAACAAACACCGTCTCCCACGCGACGCCCATATTGACTCGCCCTCGTTGCCGATCACCGTGCCCGGACCTATCCATTGTCCAGCGCCTTGCCGTACTCGCCCAGCTCCGCCCGCAGTCTTCATCACACGGTAGATGTAGACGATGTCGCCGGTCTGATACTCGTGTCTCCAAACCCGAGGTCGTCCTAGGGCCGCTCTCTTCATCGTCCCGCTCGCCTCACTCTCGTAGAAGGCCATCCTCGCTGCCCGTTGCAAAGCTGTCTTCCGGCTCCCACCGCATCAGGCTGTCCTTGACCGTCAGGTTCTCCGTCTCGTAGTCCGTGCTCCATACGTGGGCTGAAAAAACAACCCCGCGCCTTTTCGTTATGTAAGGGGCAGTCCCTTAACTTGTTTCGCAGGCCAAAACAATTGTAAACCGATACAGAGGAAGGAGAAAAAAAAAGCGATACCCCCAGAAGCCATGAAGACACACATCAGGTCCTAGTTGTTGTCGCAAACCAAGATTGCGGAATCATAAATTTGCAGGGCCCAAACCGATACCCAAACCGATACCCAACCGATACCCAACTCAGTGGCCGCCATGCCGAATCCAACCAGCTGCCCTGCAGCCTTCTCTGGAGCTGCCAACATGTACTTGGTGTACTACATTTGTACTGAAAAGTTGCGACTTCCGCTGTGGAGCTGCCAAAATGTACTTCGTATACTACACCATACTACACTTGCTTGCACTGAAAAGCTGCGACTTTCGAGCCGGAGCTGCCAAAGTGTACTGCGCATACTACTGAAAAGTTGCTACTTTCCAGCTGGAGCTGCCAGAATGTACTTTGTGTGCTACACTTGTACTGAAAAGTTGCGACTTTCCAGCTGGAGCTGGGAGCTGGCAGAGTGTACTTCGCATACTACACTTGTACGGAAAAGTCGCGACTTTCGAGCCAGAGTTGCCAAAACACTGCAAACCGATGCAGAGGAAAAAACCGATACTGACCGATACTGAGGCATAAGGATACAAGGGTTGTCCACGGGGTTTTTTTTTCAACCCACGTGGTTCCACACCGAACACCCATTGCGAAGGTGCGTGTCGTCTCCTCAGACTGTTCTTGGCGTGGACCAACTGAGCCAGAGTCCAGTCCGCCTCCGAGTAGTCGATGCCCTCGTGCTCCACAACCTTCCCCACATAGAGCGAAGCCACCCTTGTTGTCTTTCCAGCGACCCCAGTTGCCAATGAGCTTGTCCGGCAACGTACTTGACGTGGATTTGCTGCTCCTCCCTGCGGTCGAAGTAGTCCTTCTGAAAACCACGTTCCTGATCACACACCATCCTCTTTGACGACCCCGCCCATTCCAGCCACATCTGCCGCACGGTCTCCGCCAGGTCCTTGGAGAGTCTGCTTGTGTCCGGCACACGTGATACCCGGAGGCCATATCCATCAGCACAGCGTGCTTCATCTGGCCCTCGTACAGGTAGAATATGTCAACAGCAACCTCGTCGTTGTCCATCGGTAGCACCAGTTTCGCCCGCCTTTGAGGCCCAGGTCTCTTCGTGCGGCATGTCTGGCACCGAAGCTTCTCACCCTTCACAGCCGCATCCGCAGCACCACTCAACCGAAGGTGCCGGGCCAAGTCGGTGTTGCTTGGATGTCCCAAATTTTGATGGACCCGCCTGAGAGCCGCCGCCATCTGCTTGGGGACCGACTTCGGCCTTCACCATTGTCCATGCCGATCTTGATGTCCGCCACGTAGGCTGAATGTGGTGTCCTCTCTGCCTTCTCCATCGCCGGGACCACGGCCTTCGCGAACTCCCACGTGTAGCACGCCGAGGCCGCTGTGTTCATCCCTGCCGCTTGTCCATGATTGTGCTGGCGATTGCAACGTTTTCCCAGGTATTTTGCCATACCGTGACGACTCATCAGCAACTTCGTCGGCTTCCTCAAGGCTTGTCCATCGGTCACTGCCTGCAGTCCTTAGCCGCACATGTCCAAGTTGCACTCGTGCAGCATCAGGTCCTTCTTGACGTTCTTTATCCTATTGGCTTCCCAAATCGCGCTGTGTTCGGGGTTTTCCATGATGAAGTGTCTTCCACCCGCGACCTGTAGCCTCGCGCACTCCTCCGCCAACTCCAGAAAGACCTACTACGTCTCCTCCGAAGCTCCTGCTCGCGGCCATGGAAATTTATCCTTGTCCATGTACTCCACAGTGTACAGGGTGGTGCCAGCCAGACCAACTTTGGCTTGAACTCGTTGATGTCATCCAAGATCGCCCTTCTCGTCTCTGGATTCCTTATGTCATGGCCGTTGCATATTCTCTAGGTTCCATCACCTTTCCTTTTGCCGCGAAAGCCTGGGTTATCCTCGCCTTGCCCGAGAAGATCTCCATCACGTAGGGCTGCTCTTCGTCCACCTCTGGTCTGCAGACATTCTTAATGTCCAGGATCGGCTGCACCAAGGTCGTTTGGGCTTCCTTCCGCCAACAAAGGTGTCGTCAGGGCTGACGTCAGAAGCGCGAAAGCCTGCCAAGACTTCCGAACCCAGGATGTCACCATCTTCCTTGTCGACTTCTTCACCCTTTTCCCACGACACTTGCCGATGTCCAACTCCTCGTCCTGGCCGAAGGCGCCGCTGTTGTCCAAGTCCTGGTCCATGCCCTCCTGGTAGTCCTTGTCGTCGCCCGCACCCATCGTGCCGTAGGTCTTCTCCACCACGTCTGCACCATGCTTCCGAATCTCTCAAGTGATCCTGGCTTCCTGCATCAAGCGCTCTCTCCGCTGCCAGTACTGCCTCCGCTTGCTTGATTCCTCGAGGGTCGATGTGCTGCGCCCTCCTCAGCAAAGCTCCGTCTCCAGCTGCATGGTCTTTTCCAGGACCTCCGGCTCTGGCTGCGTCTCCATCCTCATCCATGAATCGTCCGAGTCGGTCGCTGTCTTCCTCTTCCTGGCAGTCGTAGTAGCCGTCGTCATCTTCTTGTTCTTGTCCAGGTTCGCCGCCTTGACCGTTGCCTTCGCGTCCATCGTGACCTTCGTGTCCACCTTGGTGTCGGGCACCGGTATCACCGCAACCTCCTCGGGATCCACCTCCAGCGCCTTCACCTTCTGGGCCTCGAGGTTCTTCTTGGCAACACCGTGAACTTCACCAGGTTGAGCGATGGCTCCTCGTTCGCCTCCGTCTCCTTGATCGCCCATTTCTGGTACTCCGTAGGCACGTCCTTGTAGAGTGTCCCTTTGTGGCGTCCAAAGTCGATCACCCCGTTCGCGTGCCCGCTGTAGGCCGTCCTCAGCAGCTTCGTGAGCTCCCCCTTGGTCGACTTTGTAGGCAATGCGATCTTGAGGTCCACGCACATCGTCAGCTCCTCCAGGTTGAAGCGCGAGAGCCCCATCGCCGCCTTGGCAACCAGCTCCCGGTTCTCGATCACCGTCGCCCGTAGCTCCGGCACAGTCCATGCCGGATCGATGTACACCCCTCTCTCTTCGAGCTCCTTGATCAGCTCCGCCTTGCGCATCTTCCATGGCGAGGTGTTGTACATCCAACAAATTGCAAGTTCTAAGGGTGGGAGCCTCCGCCGTACTTCGAGAAAACCAGCTCCGGCCAATCCATATCCTCTGTTCTCCACTCCCCATTGTCACATGTGACCGCGTCTGTGCATCGTTTATCCCCGAGGTTCCTAATCAACTTGTCCTTGAGGGCGCTATTCTTTGTTTGCCAATCTCGTGGGTCAAATAGGCTTCGGGACCACGTGGAACCACGTGGATACGCCCCAACTGCTCACGGTCCTCGATCTAGAAGTCTTTAATGTAAGCGCAAGTCCTCCACCATTCTCAAAACCACACGTAGTCCAACACGGGCCCAACCAGTTTCTGACGCTGATTCTATTAATATGGGGAATCTTCTTGGGGTAGAAAACCTTTCCCTGTCCCACATCGTGATCCCGTAGCGGCCGCACCATATAGCATCCATGCGGTTTGGACTCAATGTAAAGTTCAGCCACTGACCAACCTGTACGAAATGGCCAATCTGGCCAAGTGGTCCGCCGGCCTGTCACAGGAACAGTGAGGTGCCCTGTCTCCGTCATGCCCAACTCCAAACCAGCCACGCCTAGATGTCCAAAGTCTGCCTTGTGGCCTTCGAGGTCGTAGCGCATGCCAAGTGCTGCCAATGCACCACGACTCAGGAGCAGCGGCAACGGGCATTCCACCTCCGAGATCCGTGAAGGAAAAGTGTCCCGTCCTCCAAACTTGAACACCTCGTCCTGCTTCATGAGAAAGTGGGGAATTCCGCACTCATCCGCGTACTTGATCATCTTCTTGACCCAATCTCGTCCTGCCACAGTCCGAGTACATGCACAGTCGGGGATGCCATAGAGCGTGTCCGTCTTGCAGATGCCCGCCATGTACGCCACGTGACAGTACTGTGCTTGATGTGGTTCTTTGCGGTCTCCGGCGTTGTTCTTGCCCTTGTTGAGGGCACTCAGGATCCCGATGCCAATGCCCTCGTTTCTTGCATGTCGAACAGTAGCTTCTCGCCTTTGCCGCCCTCCATGGTCCTCAGTCACATAAGCCTGCTGGTTCCGCTTTTCTATTTGATCTCCTCCGCATCGTCCGCCTTGTTCC